GTTTCACCTCCAGTGACTCCAGTGTGAAGACCCACAAGAACGGTCTATGCGCTGCTGAGAAAAGTAAAGAGGCGTCGGTTCAAAAAAAAAGGCTTCGTGTCAGATCGCAAAGATTTCTTTACCAAGCGAGTTACGGCGCAGAGCGCAGTCAAACTTCTTGTGTTTTGACTTCTTCCGAGAGGAGCTTGCTGGCACTGGCTGGAGCTTTTGCCTCAGCATCCCTTGCCAGTCGCTTGTACGAGGTTGCTAAGACTGCTTATGATGAAGGTCACCTCTCTCTCTGAGGTGGGAGTGCCCAACCCCCGCCACAACACAGCTGAGAGGATCGAGAATCCACGTTTGAGGAAGGTTGCTCTAGGAGCTTTCGACGCCAAACTGCATTAGAGTGCAGTTTCAGGTCTCACAGGAGCATCGCTGCAGCCGATTTTGAGGCCAGAACATTTGCTCGTAATCGGAATCGCTACAGGATGCTGTTCTGAGCTGCGGGGCTGTGGAGTTCCACGCTGTTTCACTCCACAGCCCCGCAGCTCAGAACAGCATCCTGTAGCGATTCCTCCCTCGCAAATGTTCTGGCCTCAAAATCGGCTGCAGCGATGCTCCTGTGAGACCTGAAACTGCACTCTAATGCAGTTTGGCGTCGAAAGCTCCTAGAGCAACCTTCCTCAAACGTGGATTCTCGATCCTCTCAGCTGTGTTGTGGCGGGGGTTGGGCACTCCCACCTCAGAGAGAGGTGTTCATTTGCACGCGTGCAGTTTGCATGCCGCAAAACGCGTTCACGCCGCGACCTGTCTGGCACCTGTCTGGCACCTGTCTGGCACCTGTCTGGCACCTGTCTGGCACCTGTCTGGCACCTGTCTGGCACCTGTCTGGCACCTGAGGTGGGCTTTCCGTCGCTTTGCGCGAAATTCGGCACCTTTTCTGCAGCTTTTCGCACCTTTTTGGCACCTTTTCGGCACTTTTTCGGCACCTTACCGAATTCAGCACCCGATTAAGCACCCGATTAAGCACCCACGCACACGGGCACGTTCGCTGCGGCTCCGGCGTGACCGACCGGTTATCCGGCGGTAGGCTCCCGGGGCTGCGGCGGGTGGCCCAGCGAAGTCGAGGGGGGTGCCCGACTGTTAGGGCTACGGGCAGTCAGCCAGTTTCGCCCGGCCCCCTGACGACGCTTCGCGCAGGGCGAGGCCCTGGGAGCCGTCCAGGAAATGGGGCGGCTCCGAAACCTCACCACCCGCCACCCCAGGCGGGGCTGCGGGGAAGGGAATGCTGCCCGTTTTTTGGCAGCTCGGGCCATCCCGGGAATTATCGGGATGGCTCTGCGGGCCTCAAATCACGCTCAGGAGCTCTGCGCCCGTGGCCCGCGACGCGCCCACGTACAGGTGCTTCACCGAGAAGTGCGGGTTCTCGGCGTCGCAAAGCCACACCCTCCCCCGCAGCGTGAGGCCCTGGCAGGAGGCGTACGTGACCGCGTGGCAAAGCCGCGTGTGCCGCAGCAGCTCCGCGGGCGCGAAGCTCTGCCCGTCGTCCAGCGAGATCCGCTCCCCCACCTCCCGCACAGTCGCGAAGCAGCCCTTGGGCACCTTGCCCCCCGCGCCCACGAGCCTCAGCCCGGGCCACACGCGCATCGTCTGCGGCTGGTTGGTGCCCGCGGGCCCCTGCGCCCGGTGCTCCAGCAGCAGCGCACCCTCGCTCGTTGATGGCCATCCTGTGGGCGTGGGAGATGACCAGGCAGGTGTCGGGGTGGCCCCGCCGCGGGAACAGCTCCCGCGCCGCCTGCACGGCCTCCCGCAGCGGCGGCTGCTCGGGCTCGTCCACGCGCAGCCACTGCAGGAAGCGGAAGATCGTCTCGTCGCTGCGCTGGTTCTCCGTGAGCTCGTGCACGCAGCCGCCCGCCAGGTCGTGCAGCAGCTGCGAGTCCTTCAGCGAGCGCAGCACCGGCGCGCCCCCGAAGGCGTCCTGCACGGCGGGCAACTGCCGGAAGTCGCCCAGCAGCAGGAAGCGCACGCGGCGGTTCGTGGAGAGCTCCGCGATGTCGGCCCACAGCCCCACATCGAGCTGCGTGACCTCCTCGACCACGAGCCAGTCCAGCGCGCAGCGGCCAGCGCGGATGGTGCGCCGCACCCAAAGGTCCGCCGTCTGCGCGCCCAGGCCCAGGTTCTGCACGCTGCAGTGCGTCTTCGAGATCAGCGTCACCTCCTCGCCCTGCGCTGAGAGCTGTGTCACGATCCGCCGCGCCAGGTGCGTCTTCCCCGTGCCCGGCATGCCGGAGAGCAGCAGGCTGCCCCCGTTGAGGCAGTGCGCCACGGGGTCCTCCACCTGCCTCCAGGGCTCCTGCAGCGGCGGCGGCTCCGTCTCCAGCCGCGGCTCTCGGTACTCGCCCTCCAGGCGCTTCACCTCCTCGAAGCGGTACTTCGGCGTGCCGTCCCGGTGCCGGTGCCGCGTGAGCGCCTCCACGGCGGGGAGAAACTTTTTCGGTAGATTCTGGCAGACGAGGCAGTCGGTCTTCAGCGCCACCAAATAGCGCGGTGGCACCTCCTGCAGCGCGCGATGGATCCTCGCCATCGCCACGTACTCGCAGCCCATCACAAAGTCGTGCGCCGGCCGCATGGAGCGGTTCGTGAAGAGCTCCGTGGCGTAGACGTGGTCGTAGTGGCACGCGCCCGCGGCGTCGAAGAAGACCTGCAGGAACTGGGAGCCCCAGCCGTCCGCCTCGTGGCTGCTCGTCCGCATGGAGTAGAAGACGTCCTTGGAGCGCGCCCACAGGCCGATGAGCGCGTTCACGCTCAGCTTCGCGAAGTGCTCCTCGCCCTCGGGCCAGGCCCCCTCCATGACCTCCAGCGCCCGCGCCAGGCAGTCGGGCGCCACGTGGGCCGTGGCCTGCAGGGACCATTCGCAGTCCGCCCAGGTCGCGAGGCCCGCGTCGAGCATGTAGGCCACCGCGGGCTTCCCGTACCAGCCCGGGCCGACGTAGGGCAGCCGCGCCAACAAGCCCGCGCGCTTGTCCTCCCGCTTCCGCACGAAGGTGAGGTCCGCCAGCTGCCCCTCCTCCGCCGGCCGGATGCTGTCCAGCGGGCAGAAAACGGGCAGCGGGAAGGGGGCGTTGGCCAGGGCGTTCTTGCGGCAGCGCACCACGTCCACGCCCTGGCACACCTTCTCGGGGTTGCATTTCGACAGGCCGCACACGAGGGGAGGCAGCCGCGGGGAGCAGGCGTAGCTCTCGTAGACGTGGCGGCAGAAGCGGCTCTCCAGGCTCGTGGCGTGGGAGCACTCCAGGAACGTCTTGGCGCGGTGGCACTCCAGGCACAAGGCCTGCAGGCGCTGCCGCTGCCCGAAGAAGGACTGGTGCACCGGCACCACGTGGTCCGCCTCGCAGCTGCCCGCGTCGATGGGCGCGGCGCAGAGCGCGCAGGCTCCCCGCTGCTCCTGCAGCAGCCGCTGCACGTCCCCGCGGTCCCTGCGCGCCTTCAGCAGCGCTCCGAAGACCTCGCTCGCCGCCCCCGCGAGCCGCTGCCCGCGGTAGACGAAGCCCAGCTTGCCCATCCACGCTTCCAGCACCTGTGCGTCCTCGGGATACTCGTGGATGACGCAGTCGCCCCCAGGCACGCGGAGCCGCAGGTAGCGCCACTCCACGAGCCCGCGCAGGACCACCTTGGGCTGGTGGCCCTCCGCGAGCAGGCGGGAGCGCGCAACGCGCAGGTCCTTGGCCCAGTAGTGCCCGGGCTCGAGGGCGCCCTGCCACTCCCGCCACTCGCCGAAGGGCGGCACGGTGGACTCCCGCCGCTCCCCGCGGTAGCTCGGAGTGTCCCGCGGCTCGCCGTCGCACCAGGCCACGGCCCGCGCGCTCTTGTAGAAGTAGGCGTGGTCGCGGTAGACGCACAGCGCCAGGGCCCGCTCCTCCTTGACGGGCGGCTCGTAGCAGTCGATCATCTGCCCCCGGCAATTCACGATGAACATCGGCGCCTTGCGCCACTCGCAGAACTGCCGGATCTCCTTGCCGGTGACGCCCCTGCTCTCCCAGCCTCTGGGGCAAATCGCGTCGAAGTCCGAGTAGATCTCCTCGAAGGGCAGCTGCAGCAGCTCCGCGACCTGGCGCACGACGCAGAGCCTGTCGCCGCGCTCCTCGAAGGCGCTCTCCAGGATTTCCGAGCCCTTGAAGAGCTGGTAGGAGACGTCCTGCAGCGCCCCCAGGGGCTGGCGCAGCGTCACCTCCGTCTCCACCTGGTTCCGCGCCACCTGCATCGTCTGCTTGGAGACGCCCCAGTCCCGCGACGCGTCATAGGTGTACTGTTCCTCCGAGAGCTCCATGACCACGTCGCCGTCCGCGGGGTTCCCCATCTTGCGGAGCGCGGCCGCGATGACGTTCCGGTGCTGCTGCACCTCGCCCAGCCCGTCGTTCTGGCGCCCGAGGCCGTCCAGGATCACGGGCAGGAAGTCGTCCCTCTGGTAGGGCTGCCCGCGGCGCCGCCTCCCGCGGATCCTCACGGGCATGTGGGCAATAAAATCGGTCCACTTGTCACGGAAGAAGGCCTTGCCCAGCTTGGTGACGCGGTAGTTGCCGTCGGGCTGGAGGCTGCGCACTAGCTTCTTGGCGCCTCCCCGCAGCAGAATGTAGTCGTTGGGGCCGTCGCGCACAAGCGGCTGCGCCTCGTTGAAGCGCCGGGAGGGCGGGCGCCGCCCGACCAGCTGGTAGTAGAACTGCCCGGCGCGGGTGGGCTGCCCGTCCGGCCGGGCGAGCAGCAGCTGCTGGGCGTTTTGAAGACGCAGGAGCTCCGAGCCCTGCGGGGAGGTGCGCGCGGCGACGCCCGCCTCCACGGCCCGCCGGATTCTCTCGCGCTGCTGTGCCCAAGACATGATTTACTACCCGCCCCTCGGCGGCGGCGGTCGAGCGAACGCGGGTTCCCTAGTGTCGACGGGTGCCCCAATTTCAAAATCGGGGCACCAATCGGGGCACCCATCGGGGCACCTACTCGGTGTAGCCCGTGTCGATGGTCGAACGCGTCTAAAAGGGGCACTGCGGCTTGGGGGGCTCGGCCTGCTGCAGCATCACGTCCGTGACCTCCGCCAGCACGCCGCACTGGGAGCTCATCAGCCAGACCTGGCGCAGCTCCACGTGGACTTTACACAAGCAACCTTGCAGGTCCCACTTCTGCACAGGGAGCTCCTCGCCGTCTGGTCCCCACAGGCGCATCTTGTCGTAGTTCAATTTCAGCTTGAGGAACTCCGTGCCGCGGGTGCTGGTTTTGACAGCGCTGGTCAGGCGCTCCTTCACTTCCTCGGGCTTCAGGGGCTTGCCGAAGATGCGGGAGTCGCGCTGAGAGTGCTCCGACAGCGCCTTGGTCACCAGCTCCTCCGTTTCGCGGAAGAAGGCCCGGGCGGCCTCGTCGGGCTCCAGGCACATGGACACGCGCACCGCCTCGGGGTCGCCGTAGCAGGATGGGTTCCAAATCACTTTGAGCCAGTCGCTCTTCCATGTGGGCACATCGCTGCCACCCTCCGTGCGCAGCGGGATATAGCGACCGCCCTTGCTGTTGGTCAGAATGTTGCCCAGCATAATCGTCATGACTTCCCGGTTTTGTATCGAGACAGATAAATGTGCTTGCTCCGCGAACGCACCGAGAGCCCCGTGAGCTTCGGGGAGTTTCTGTGCGTCGCGCTGACGCTGGCCGGCGGCGTCGCCGTGCTGTGGGTCCTCGCGAGACCGTGGGAGGAACCGTGGTCATAAAAAAAATGCGGCTGCTCGAGCTCTTCTCGGGCACGGGGTCCGTGGGCCGCGCCTTCCGGGAGCGCGGGTGGGAGGTCACGAGCCTCGACATGGACCCGAAGGCCCGTCCCACCATCGTCGCGGACATCATGACCTGGGACTACATTCGCAGATCTTGAAGGCGTCGGGATTGTAGCGCACGAAGCGCAGCGGCACGCCCGGCGAGCGCTGCACGTGCTGCGCCGCGACGTTGAGCATGCGAGCGGTCTCGCAGGCCTGGGGCATGTGGTCGTGCTGGCATTCGTCCACCTCGATCACGCACACGCCCCAGGGGCGGTAAAGGACGAAGTCGAGGCGGGCCAGGCTCGTGTTCACGGGGCGAGACTCTCCCGGGCACGGCGCGTCGCGGGCGGAGCAGAAGGCCACGCGCGCCTCGCGCTCGAAGGGGTAGCCGGCCTGCGTCAGGAAGCGCGCGACCGCCTCCTCGCGCTTCTTCTGCCGCTGCTGCCCGCGCTCCGTGTGGTGGCACTCGATGTGCCGTTTCAGTTCATGTTTGTACCCGAAGCGGGCCTCGCACTGCTCGCACGCAAAAGGCCTTTCACCGCGGTGCACGACGCGGATGTGATCCAGGAAGTGCTCGGCCCGGCTGAAGCGCTCGGGGCACTCCGGGCAGGCGTGCGGCTTTTCGCCCCGGTGCACCTAGCGGATGTGCTTCTGGAGGTTGCCGGCCCGGCTGAAGCGCTCGGGGCACTCCGGGCAGGCGTGCGGCTTCTCCCCGCGGTGCACCGCGGCGACGTGCCGCCGGAGGTCGTCGGCCCGGCTGAAGCGCTCGGGGCACTCCGGGCAGGCGTGCGGCTTTTCGCCCCGGTGCACCTCGCGGACGTGCTTCTGGAGGTTACTGACACGGCTGAAGCGCTCGGGGCACTCCGGGCAGGCGTGCGGCTTTTCGCCGCGGTGCACCTCGCGGATGTGCTTCTGGAGGTTGCCGGCACGGCTGAAGGGTCTGCCACACTCGGGGCACTCGTGCGGTCCAGGCTCACGCGGTCGCTTCGGCATGGTTGCGAATTGATGGCTCTGTCGCCTTTAACCCCTTACAGGCGAGGCACCGCCCGCCGCCGCGCGTGCCTCCAGGGGCCTGGTGAACGCAGTCACTGCGCGACCCCCGTGGCCGCATCCGCTATCTCGTCGCAGAGGGCCGGTGGAATGGAGTACAACTGGTTCTTGGAGTTGCTGCCCTCGTAGCCTCTGCGAGAGCCCCGCTGAGCGCTGGACGGGTGCCCCCGGCCGTCGAAGGCCTCACACCGACTGCCTTTCCTGCAGACGCCGCGGGAGGGCGTCCAGGGCAAATTGCTCCAAATGCGGGTCGGCTTGCGGTAGAGATACCCCCAAACACAATAGCAGGTGTCCTGAAACGGCAAGCCTGCCATGAAGACCCGTGTCTTCAGAAGCCCCGTCTGCGGGTTCTCCATGGCCCACCACTTGGGCTTCAAGTAGTCGAGGATCTCCAGCGTCTTGAGGACCACCGCGTCGGCAGCCTCCAAGTTGCGCGGCCGGTTCCGCAGCGCGACGCTGTACTCCGTGCACGGTGGCGAGCACCAGCAAAAATCGAAGTGGCCCGGCTCGACTCCTGGCAAGGCCACGCAGGCGCTGCGCCACTCGAAGCTCCTGCTCGCCCTGGAGCAGGCACCCTCCAAGGACTTCGAGGTCCTTTACCTCTTCTACGACGTGGTGCGGCCGGACGCGGCGCGCCCGCTCGTGTGCGAGGAGCCGGACTACCCGGAGGAGCTCAAGGAGGCGGTGCGCTGCCTGGTCTGGTAAAGAAATGTGCCCAGGGCTCTACCAGTGCTACCGAGCCCTATGGAAAGGCAATGGGACGCATCAAGGTCTTCCCGACCCCCGACTACCAGGTCAAGCAGCCCAGAGACCCGATCGTTCCCCGCGTGCCCTGCACAGGCATGCTGCTGGGCCCCTCGAAATCGGGCAAGACGGTGGCTCTCATATTAAGCATGCTGCTCGACCAGTACCGCACGGCCAGCGGTGAGTCCGTCTGGGAAAGACTGTACATCATGTCGCCCTCGATTCACCTTGACGACGCGTGGAAGCCCGTGATCAAGTTTATCGAGGAGGACATGGGCGTGAACATGGAGCGCGAGAAGGTGCTCTACGACACGTGGGACGAGGGAGCCATCAGGGGCATCATCGAGCAACAACGCAAGATCACGAAGAAGAGCAAAGATTTGGGGCTGAAACGGCTGTACGGCGTGTGCATAGTGGTCGACGACTTCAGCGACCAGCCCGAGCTCCACAAGAAAAACGGCGAGGGTGCGCTGGACACCCTCCTGTGCCGCGGTCGACACCTGCAGATCAGCACGTTCATCAGCTGCCAGAAGCTCCGTGTGGTCTCCAACTGCATTCGCGTGAACTTGCAGTTCCTTTGCATCTGGCGGCTCCGAAACGCTCTCGAGCTCCAGGCGGTCATAGAAGAGCTGAGCGCGCTCCTGAGCAAGGAGGAGCTCCTGGCCATGTACCACGAGGCGACCCGAGAGCCCTTCTCGTTCTGGTTCATATACCTCCTCAAGCCCAAAAGCGAGGCCTTCTTCAAGCGCTTCGAGGAAAGGTTTGTGATCCAGGATGGGCCAGATCCTGTCCCAGATGGCGGCCAAGCTGCTGGGCGGGGGCCCGATCTGCGAGACCGAGTGTAACAACCTTCGGTGCTGCACCACCACGCACGGCGTCTACGACCCGAGCCGCTACTGGCCCCCGCCGGAGCGGCCCCGGCAGGTCTCGGAGGAGTCGGCCACCAGCGAGTTCTCGGCGCGGCGCACGGGGATTTTCCGCCGTAGAAGAAAGCTCATGGTGTCTCTGTACGTGGACTCTCGGATGCGTACACAGGGCACGGACTCCGACTTCTCCTTCGACATCGGCGAGAGCGTGCACATCCAGAGCGGGGCCAAGCTGGCCGTCTACAAGGTGCGCATCGCCGACGCCTTCCTGAGCACCGACCGTGGGACGTTCCTGTACTGGACGGACACGGTCGCCGACACCCTGCACTACGCCGAGCTCCCCGTGGGCGCGTACACGGGCCCTCGGCTGGCCGCGTGGATCTCCAGCAACTTCGCCGCGGCCACGTACACCGCGGAGACGAACGAGCTGGACGTTAGCTGGGATGGCGTGCGCCTGATCCTCAACGACGCCGAGCTCCGGCAGCACTTCCCGGGCACGGGCTCCTATCCGCCGGGCGCCTCGCCCAGCAAGCCCCTGAGCATCAACCACCTGCTCGGCCCCAGTTACATCACGGGCTCCGTGCAGCGCTTCGTGTTCGTCCAGATGAACGTGTACAGTGAATTGTATCTTAGGTGCCCGTCGCTGGCCAACGGCGAGACCACGGTGGGTCCGCTGGGTCACGACATCCTCTGCAAGATCGTCGTCTCCAAGGGCGTGGGCCACATCATGGAGACCGAGACCTCGGAGGGCCACTGGGTTCAGCTCCACGGGCCCATCACGCTGCGCCACCTGCGCTTCAAGCTCACCGACTACCAAGGCAACGTGGTGAACACCAGGGGCACCAGCGTTTCCTTCGTGGTGTTCCTCGACACCGAGCGATAAAAAAAAATCTTTTATTAAATGGCTGAGCAGGAAGATGCACCCGCTCCTGTGGCCGCCGAGCCTCCCGTGGCCGAGCCCCTGGCCGAGCCTGCCGAGCCTGCCGCGCCCGAGCAACCCGAGCCAACCCCACTCCCCGCCCCAGCGGAGCCCGCGGCGGTGTTCCCGCTCCCGAGCCGCCGCAGCCGAAGCGCAGAGGCAGGCCGCCGGGCTCCAAGAACAAGCCCAAGCCCGCCCCGCCCACCGTGGCGGTACAACCGGTGGTGGCCGAGCCTCGCCATCGGCCACGGCGGCGACCGCCGCGCATGGCATGCATGCTGACATGCAGCTGGAGGCCACCTTCCAAAGCCAAGCACTGCTTCCTCCGAAAGCTCCTCCAAACGCCTTCGGAGCCAGCCTCCGCGCCCCCTGCCGCGCAGCCCCCGGAGTCTGAGCGGCCCGTCCGCATGACGCCCTCGGAGGCCCGCCACGCCCGGCATCTCTCCCGCGCAGACCGCTTCCACGAGCTCCTTCTCCGCAACACCACGGATCTCTGATCCTGTAAAATGATGCCCTTTCCGGAGCGGCGCAACGAGGCGGCCATGCGGGCTTTCCACAAGCAGTACCCCTCCTACAACCTGACGCCGCTGCTCTACAAGAGACAGCAGCTCATCGACGCGCGGTCCTTCAACGAGTGGCTGGCCAACCGGCGGCAGCGCCAGGAGGGAGAGCTTCGCGGACGAGGTCGGGCGCATGACCGACGCCGTGAACCGCAGGATCCCCCCAGCTGAGGTGGGCCCCCGCCAAGCGGCGGGCGTGCGCCGCATGGCGCGGGACGTGGCCGCCGGCCGGAATACTAGCGATTCAGGGGTGTATGGCGGCCTCATGCAAAGACATGGAGAAGCGGCGCGCGCACGGCTTTCGCGTCAAGCCATCCCACTCGCAGGTCCTGGGCTTCATCCCTCGGCAAGCCGTTGCCCATCACCCATCCCAACCGCAACGCATCCATTCTGACCTTCTCACATTTTTGGTTGACTGACCACCCCAAGAGCAGCGAGCCCGAGCCCGCGCCGCTGCCGCACACGACCGTGGGCCCCGCGGCGGCGTACGAAGATGCCCGTGAGGGCTACGACGGCGTGCCCTTCCCGAGAAGGGACTTTCTGCGCCCACGGCCCTTCGACCTGGACAGCGAGTCGGACGTGGGCGTGGATCGGGCAGGCGCTGAGAAACGACAGGTTTCGCCGGCTCCGGGCTTCCTGGAGCAGCTGCAGCAGGCCGAGGTCGCGGCGGGAGCTGCGGCGGGACTGGCGGGCTCTGCATCTGCCATGGCGGGGCACGGGCAGGACCTCTACAACGCCGCGCGCAGGGGTCGCAACTGGATCGACTGGAACCTGCGCATCCCGCGCACGCCCGAGGGCCTGGCGCCCCCGCCGGACGAAGTGGCTTCGCCGCAAGTGATACGCAGGCTCAGCGAAGTGGAGTGCTGCTGGAACGAGCGCCCGCGGGTCCAGGAGGTGGAGCGAGCCGCGGCCCGAGACATCGAGCAGTTCATGAGCGAGCAGATGGCCGAGGCCGAGGCGACCTCAAGGTGCGCCACCGTTGCCGAGGCGGCCGCGGGTGCAGCGGAGGCGGCCACGGCCGCGGAGGGGGAGGAGGCCCGCTCGCGGCCAGCGGCTCGGGCTGGCCGCCGGAGACTGCGCTGCCCACGTGGGAGCCGGCGGGAGGCCTGGCAGTGGCGGGCGCGGGCGCAGCTCTCGTGGGCACCGCGTGGGCGCTGCACGGGGGCATGGTGGCGGCAGAGCACCTGATGGGCTGGGGGGAAGGAGGCGGAGGCACTGACACGGACGCCTCCCGCCCCAGCTCCGCGCCCGACATCCAGACCCTCAACGGCATGCAGGAGTTCGAAGCCGAGCAGCACTTCCAGGTCCGGGAACAACGTCCAAGGCCCTAGATCTGCCGCATGGACACCGAGAGCGAGGCCGAGCTGCGGGCCCAGCCCAGGGTGCAGGCCGCTCCGCGAGGCCCACGCGTCCCCACGGGCCTGAACCCCGCTTCTCTGGCGCAGTCCTCGGGCAGCGAGTCCTCCTCCCGGCCTCGGATGCAGCGTCAGTCGAGAGCGGCACCACCGCCTTCCTTCGAGGCGCTTCGCAGCGCGAGCGAGCCGGAGGCGGCCATGTTTGGAGTATTTAAAAGGAGCCCTTAAGGGTACAACCTTAGGGATGCAAGTCTGAATCCGTTGAGGGTGCCTGATGTTGCAGCGGCGGACTATAAGTACCGTGAACTATGGTCTCAGCCTTGCTTGAGGCACAGACTGCACCACGACTCACCAACTCCCCACAAAAAGAACCCTGGGTCATAATGAAACAATGGTTTACCAATCCTTATAAAGATCTTTCTGAATTAGCACGGGCTCCGCCAAGGGCGGGCGCAGGCCATCAGTTGGGTACCCTTTTGAAGATGCTTAAGGCAGTATAAGGGCCATGTTTGGAATATATAAAGGGTCACCAACTCCCCAGAAAAAGGATCCTGGGTCATATGAAACAATGGTTTACCAATCTTTATAAAGATCTTTCTGAATTAGCACGGGCTCCGCCAAGGGCGGGCGCAGGCCATCAGTTGGGTACCCTTTTGAAGATGCTTAAGGCAGTATAAGGGCCATGTTTGGAATATATAAAGGGTCACCAACTCCCCAGAAAAAGGATCCTGGGTCATATGAAACAATGGTTTACCAATCTTTATAAAGATCTTTCTGAATTAGCACGGGCTCCGCCAAGGGCGGGCGCAGGCCATCAGTTAGGTATCTTTTTGAAGATGCTTAAGGCAGTATAAGTATAAGGGCCATGTTTGGAATATATCAAGGGTCACCAACTCCCCACGAACAAGACAAGAGTGACGGAACTGCGGGACTTGCGCAGTCCCGACGTGGACGCGCTTGGCGCCATGGTCTGAAACTTCGCGCTGCTTGAGAAGAGCTGGTACCGCTTGCAAGAAACTAACATGGCTTGGAAGCCTACTTGGCCCTTAACATGTTCGCCATCCTCATCTTCTTCTTTGCCGGACCACCCGAACCCGTGACGTCTACCGAACGCGCTGGAGGCGACAGCGGTAGTACCGGCGCCCGGCTTGAGGACGCCCCACCGTCCTGGACTTGCACACGCCCAGGCGGAAGGGGCACTGCCCTGTCCTGGTTGTTTTTCTTTGGTGCCATAGCAGTACAAGACTACCCCTACGACACGAGCACTACACCTCTGCCTCTGACAAACGCGCGACGCAGAGACTGCCAATATTTTTTTCCAATGCCCAGCTGCAACAGCTGTTCCGTGCTGGCTGAAACAGTCACAGCACGGCAAGCATTGAAAACGATCCTGTGTCGAAAAGGCTTTGACATCAAGGACTGAGACGCCAACCCTAGACCCTAAACATGCGAGACACCCTCACACTCACAGTCCAATATGCAAGAGCCTGGGCCACAGACATCAGTCATAGGTTTAGGGTTTAAGGTTTAGGGTTAAGGGCTTTGGGCGGGCGAGGGCCCCGGGAGCCCTGTCCGGGTGGTTTTCGCTTGCGAAACGACTGCAACGAAGGCACTTGTACGTTGTAGCAGCGATAAGTGCACTCTTGTGACACAGCCGGTGCCAACAAGATCTTTTTTTTAGCACGTTTCGCCTGAACTTTCTCCCCAACTCCCCAAACACGTATTGAAAGAGTATGGTCAGCGCGACCAAGGCCTAGCCTATCTTTCTGCATAATGATAGGCCGGGGCCTCACCCACAGTCCCAGTACATATGTACACATCCCTACTCAGACTCAGAGTGACCATCGTACAGCTGTTTCGCGTACTGAAACTGGCCAGATCGTCTGACGATGACGAAGAAAATGGATGTGGCCGCACGCACGAATGTTGGAACACATGAACTCACCGCACATCTGTTGAACCTGATCCAAGAGCTTGCGCTCTTGCTCACTACGGCTCTTCAAAGCTTCGAAGTTCTCATCATGCCGAAGGTCATCAAACTCAACATCATCATCGTCAGAGTCGCTTAGAATCCAACTGGGAGACTGCAAGACTAGCTCGACGCTTGTCGTGGGCAGCACAGATGGAAACAAGAACTCGAGCACTTGCCCCGAGCAGGAAGATGGTAGTGAAAGATAAGGCACTGTCATCCAGAATATGATGTCCTGGCGCTGTGCGTCGTGAAGTTCGATTTCTTGTAGTAGAACTCGGAGCCACGCTACGGTCTCTTGGCGAGTTCGTTGAATGGCCACCAATGGACGCGCGAAGTAGTTGCGCTCAGCAGCACGGATGCAAATGGGAAGCACGTTCCACACGAGCTGGGCTTCTTGCGCTATCACGGCAGGAACATCAACGGGTCGGCTCCCAAACATATGAGCGTACTGCATGGCAGCTGCAGCAACGGGAACTCTGCAGAGACTCTACAATCTACTACTGGGATATGTGCGGCTTTGGCGAATCGACGGAGAAAGTCTTGAATTCACAACTTCAAGAGGTCACCAGGCATGATGACTGCAACAAGCAGCCATGCAGAAAGCTCTTTTTCGGCTTTCTGGGTACTGCGTTACAGAGTTTCTCGCAAGCAGCATCAAACGACTGTACAGTTGAACTTGCTTGCCAAACTAGCAAAATGCGGTAATTCAACCAGAGTGTATGTACAGAAACAGAAACTGCCAGGTGCAACAGAGTGTATGTACAGAAACAGAAACTGCGCGCTGGAACCAGGTGCAGCAGAGTGTATGTACAGAAACAGAAACTACGCGCTGCATGAGCAATCTCGAACAGCTGTACGAGATCGAGCTTGCTCAGTCATGGCTTCAGAGCCTGCGCGCCTCGTACGCAGCTCGAACAATATTGCCGACAGCAGCGAACTTGTCCTGCTCGGCATGCCAATGATGCCATTGAAATTCACGCACCCGCTCATCAATGTTCCCTTCATCCGCTTTCGTGGACTTCGGAACCCCGATCAACTTCAATTGCCGCCACACATTATCTATGAGTTGGGTGCCTTTTTTCACCCATACCGTGTCCGCTTGGTCTTTGGGCAAACCCTTGACATGTGCTTTCCTGTAATCTCGAGGAAGGCGGTGCTTCCATGTAGCGGCATATATGGGGCTCGGACGCTTGTGTCTCACCGAATCGGTAACCACGCCAGGTATCTGCACGTACCTGTACGCACGTGCTCCGTCGCAGTGTAACAGGATTTTCCGATTCTTGAGATAACGGAACCCTATCTGCTTCCATTCTTTTTTGGATATGGGTCCCGGAGACACAGCAGAGCCCTTGCCCTTGCCCTTCAGCTTGACAGACGTTGACTTCACTCGCATTT